GAGAGGAGACCTTAGGGAGGGGTAGATGGGCTGGGAGGACCACAACAAGGTCACCACAAACCAGGTTTTCCTCCCAATCAGGAGTAATGACTGGTACATTGGTGTGTTAATCAGAAATGCTCCTGAAAAGCTGGCAGTAAATGCTTGGCTCTGGTCACATGCCTGCTTCAGGCTTTTCTTTATGTCTCAGTCCAGAGATACATGAGATTGGCAAGGCTGGGTGGGGACCTGCTGGGGACTGGCTGGGGACTGGCTGGGGTAGAGGGAGCCTCACACAGCAGAGATAAGAGAGAGAGGGGAAGGCAATGGGGGAAACTAACCAGAAGCCAGAGAAAAGAAGATGCACAGATAACAGCATGGAGAGCTAGGGGAATCAAGTGATACTTCACTTAGAAAGTCAAGTGACATGTAAAACCCATTTCTCTGCAAAGCATGAAGTTGTGAGACCTCCCAGCCCTAGCTGGAAAACCAGAAATGAGGCTTGCTGTTGTGGAGGGAACAAAGAGCCCCACACCCCACTTAGCTAACCCCATTTAATACATTTACTTGGAAAATAAATTTATATATACTTACACATATGTATGTGTGTATATATATATATGTATATGTAAACAGGTGTATACAAATAATATATATATATATATATATGTATATGTAAACAGGTGTATACAAATACATAGAGAGGAAAATTTAGCATATATAATTTTTAAATTTTCCTCTGGAAAAAAATTATACCCATATGTACACACACACACACACACACACACACACACACAGGTATAATTTTTTTCCAGAGGAAAGTGCTGGTTTAGATAAGGGGAGGAGCTGGGATTGAATTTCCTCTGAGACCTCTCCCAACACAGAGTTTTATATATTTTCTTTCTCCATATATATTTTACAAATTTAAGATCCAACTGTATAATCTTATATCTTTTTGCTTAGTATATCATGAACATTTTCCCAAATCCTTAAACATTCTATAAAAATGCCATTTTCAACGGCTGCCCCAAAACACCATAATAAACATCTTTATACGTAAGTCTGTGTATTCATTCCTCAGAATAGATTTGTAGAAGGGAAAATACCTCATGTGGATGTTTAAAGGATCTTGATTTGTGTTGCCAAATTTCCTTCCAGAAAGGTCATGCCAATTTACAGTCCCACCAGCCCTCGAAGTTCTAAGTGGTTTGCAGCAAATAAAAACAACCAGCAAAGGCTCAGAACCCCGCTGTGTCCCAGGCAGGGCTTCATTGCTTTAATGCCCAGGGACATGGGTACGGTTTTATCCCCATTTTCATGAAGGTGAAATTCAGGCGGGGCAGGGTTAAAACTAACTTAACCAGAGCCACACTGCTCAGAAGAATCAGAGGTGGGACTGGGACACACGGATTTTCAAGGGCCACGGTTCCCATTGCCCTGAACAGCAGACCCGGCCCTGCTGGGAGCACCTGGGTCTGGTAAAAGGCATGATAAGCCGATATAGTACACAGCGTGATAGAAGGTGATGGATGCTGTTGGAAAAAGAAAAGGCAGAGTGGGGCAGGGGGCAGGACTGCGGGCTCCGTTGCTACTTTCAAGAGGATGATCAGAGTGGCCTCCACGGGGAAGGAGGCCAGGGAGTGAGTGGACGAGGTGAGGGGCAAGAGTGTCCCAAGCAGAGGCAGTGTGTAAAAAGGCCACTCAGCAAATACATCAGTGGGTTCAGGGGACAGCGAGGAGGCTGGTGTGGAAGGAGAAAGAACGGGGACGAGGTCAGGAAAGAGTGGGGACGGGGCCACTGCTGGGCTTTGAGCAAGAGAGGTCACATTGACATTGCAAGCAGGGCTTTAGGAAGCCTGCCTTTGCCCCAGCTGGAACAGGCATCCTGGGGTGTGGAGGCAGGACCCCCAGCAAGCTTTGGGAGTGGTCAGTGGGCTGTGAGCCCCTGGCAGTCAGGCACGGAAGAGGCGCTCAGGAAACCCTTGAAGTCGACACCAGCTGGGGCTCTGGCATGAATTTGGCTCTCTGGCCTTTTACCCCACTCTGACTCAGTTTCCTTTCAGGTAAAATGGTACTGCCTGCCTTCCTTGCCCAGCGCACAGTTGGACCAAGCAGAAAGGAGAGGTGCTCAGCCGGCCCTGAGGCGCAGCAAGCTGTCTCGGGCATCTGACACCGCACGCATCTCACTAGCCTATTTTTGTTTCCGGATGCTGGTCACACGACCAGCTTATGTGCTCTGCACTGTCCCCAGACCTGCTCACAAACACTGTCACCCACGCAGTGCAGCGCAAGGCTTTACTGCTCACAGTTACCTCTAAATTATTCCCTTAGTGTTGCAGCCCGCTTGGAATTATTTTTTCTGTAATTGAGAGTAGTCTGTAAATTATTTCTCTGGAGCAGACCAGGGGCCTTCCAGACGCCCACGGGGGTCTGTGTCACAGCTTTCCAGAGGAAACAAAAATGGGACAGACACCGATATTGTCAGGTGGACGGACTGAACTGGCCCATATCAACATCCCTCCTCACAGGTCCACTATCTGGTAAAGACCCCAAGATCACTTTTTGATCCACCACCTTATCTGACCTCCATGACGACCCTGAGATGTAGTTATCAGTATTCACCCACCTTATCGCCAATGAGACGGCAGCTCAGAGAGGGAAAGCCACTTGCCCAGAGTTGCACAGCTTGCTAGGATCCTGACTCCCAATACAGTGTCCCTCACTCTGGTCTTTCTTACCTGTGTAGGGTCTTTCCCACCAGCACCCACTTCCCTCTTATCACCCACAGACTCTGGTCAGGGACTTCACTTCCAGTAAACACCCCTGCCATAGGCAAAGCCTCTGGAAGTGAGAAATATATTCTTTCTACCAAAAGTTCAAATGTCCTACCACGTTTGTCCCAGGTGTTACTTGGATCCA